CGCTGTCGTCCACATAGTTCATCTGGACGGCCATGTCGCGATCGCCTCTGTAGCCTCGGAGCTCAAGGTGGATCAACAGGTGGCCATCGATCTTGACCTTGATGTCCACCCAGGTTGGAGAGCTCTCTGTCATAGTTGGCCAGCGAAAGGGCTGGAAGGCCTTGCGCGAGAGCACCTTGCCCGTTGGAGCATCCCAGGCACCACAAGGAACTGTGGAGTACGAGGTCATGCTGCCCACGAGCGTGAGCTTGAAGGTGCTCAATGTCTTCATCAGGAACAGGTTCAAGTGGTTCTTGCTGCGGCGACCTGACCAGGTTCCTATCAGACAGCACGTTGATGGCCGCCTGGGCATTCGTGAAGATCTCGTCCAGGACCCACCCCTGAAAAGCGTTGATCACGAGTGTCGATGACCAACACACTCCTCTCGCCTGGTCCGGATCCGACCTGCGCAAGGTAGTCAGGGAGCTGCCTCTGGTGCGGGTTGTTGTAGTTGAACTGGCCCCAGCGAACGCGCTTGCCACCACGAGCTTCATTTTTCTCCTGAAGCTTCCGAAGTCTGCGAGCGGCAGCGGTCTCATTGGCATGCTGCACGAATTGCTGAGCAGCCTGCGTTGCCGGGTTGTAGGAGCCACCGCCACCATAGGAGCCACCTTGCCCCCACGAGCTGTTTGCCGCCATCTGCGCCCAGGGATCGCCGGATCCGGCAGGCTGCTGCTCCCACGAGAAGTACTTGGGCAGCTTGCTCAGATCCTCTTCTTGATCTTCTCCCTGAGCAGGTTGCGCGGCCGCGCAGCTGGCTTGCTCTGGGATCGGAGGGAAGCTCGCCTGCGATCGCCTCGGACGGCTCATCGCCATTCGGCTCTGACGCTCCCATGGAGATCCCATGGCTCACTTCCCAGGCCCTAGACCTTTTTCTGAGTTGTCAGTCACGTGGGCTAGCTGAACATCTTTTTTACGCCAAAATGGCAACGTACAAACATAGTTGATCAACTGTAAACAACATGAGCAGACATGTGTGTCAGGTGCGAATGCACAGCCTACTGAGTGACCCTCCTAAACCAGACCAACCTAACCGTATTAGGAGGACATGATGGAGGGCAGCAAGAGCACAAGCTCAAACTTTCATTCGATTCAAGGAGAATCAAGGGTACACAAAGAGCATCGTGTGCGTTTCTTTGTCTTCTCATAGATCTCTATGATACGTGACCGGACGATGTGAAGCCAGCTCTGACAAACCGCCTGAAACGACCTAGCACTCTCATTTCGGGACCCACTGCAATCCCTCTTTGATACATGCCATGAGCGCCGTGTCGACGTGCATCATGAGACTCCTCCAGACATCTGGGTGCACTGGCGCCAGCCGCCTTCTCTACCTTGACGAAGGCCACGACGCCTACCTGCGGTGCTCAGTCTTGATCTTGGCTGCTTGCAACATCACTTCAGATCATACATCATAACTGGGTTCGTTGCCCATTTCTTGGGATCTGGGACCAAAGCTACCTGCATGGCCTGATGTGTAACTGCTGCGCATGAACCCAATGCAATCCCTGTAGATGTGAAGCACGTCATTCCACACCAAGCGCCTGAGCGCAGAAATCCTTCAGGTCCTGCCATTCCACGGATGGCTCCAAGCCATCGACAAAGATCTTCGATCCATCCTGCGAGTAGGTAAGCGTAGCACTCGGGAGCTGTGAATTTCAGCAAAGGTACTGTTACTTCTGTTGACAGAACAGGGGCATTGCAATTTGATTCCTCATCGACGTTTGATCCACTAGCCCAGTGCTCATGCAAGCAAAACCCCTTCGGCCGGAACGTTACACTATGTGAGGCTTACGCGTGAATTTTGTTGATCCTGTTTAACCTTGCGGCAGTCCACACAAAACCGCTTGAGATCAGGAGCTCCTGCGTTGCAAATCAGCTCCCCAAATCGGGGCTACTGCCTTCTTAATCTTTGCCCCTCAGCCGAGCGGGAATGACAGGTTTGTCTACTATCGTGCTTTACCCACTTGTTCGAGCATCCTGCTAGTGCGTCAAAGGCAGAAACTAGCACATGCTCAAACCTTCCTGCCACTGGCACCTGCAGACGTGCATTTTCTAGGACACGCTGATAGTGGCCACAAGGCCTCCTGCCACTCAAAATATCTCCTTGTGCACTGCCTCTAGCTCATCCTTTCCAAAATGAGACAACCATCGACTGCGAGGACTGATGGCCTACTGCAAAGTCTACGTGGAAAGCTCTGGGCTCTTCCCTGTCATGTTCGTGTGCGGGCCTTCGATGAGGGGTCCAGGCGCGCCGAAATCGTGGCGCCTCAGATCAACAAGGAATGGGATGCCCACGCAAAGTTCATTTGATGCATCAATGACTTTGCACAGATCATTGTGAGGGGTTCGCACTTGCCGGCTGAATAGCTTTTCTGAGTCAGCTGGGACAGCTCCAAAAGGAGCAGCAACAGTGTTCAGAAAAGCTACAGTGAAAGCCCGCCGTCAAGGCTCAAATATTCCCAATGCATCTCCTGAACCCAAACCACGCAACCAACGCAGACGCCTAAACCCAGAGAACAATCTTCACAAATTCCCGGAACCTTAAAGGCTGCAACAGGGCCTGCCAAGAAGAGCGGAAGTGACAATCGGAAGCGCTCGGTAGGAAGTAGCTGCAGTAGAGAATCAGCAGCAGCAGCAGCAGCAGCAATCAGAAGAATTGAAGAAGAAGAAGAAGAGTACTTATGGCTGTGTGCTATGCTGCTCAAAGCGGGAACCCAGGTTTTTCCCACCATGATGCTACTCAGAGCAAATCACGTACTGATGCAATCATAAAAACCCCCACAAGTCTTTGGGCCTCGGAGTTCCTGGCCGTCCAGTGCACTGACCGCCTCCTCCGCCATCTCCGCGGTCTCGAAGCGGACCTGAACATCGTGCTTGATTAGAATATCCCCATCTGCTTCTTTCTTACGGGCTTTCATGCAGGACCCTGCAATACCTGAAGGATGACCTCCAGTTGGTCTTCGCCAGTCTAACTACCCGGAAAGCTCAGCCATCGCTCAACTACCACTTGGAGTCCAGTTAGAAGCTTGAACCGCTCACAACACGTGCATGCTCTGTATCCAGTTCAGCAAGAGGAAACCAGAGTGCGGGCCATTGGGTTGCACAGCACTTTGCTGCAAGGAATAGTTGAGTATGCTGCTAATTAGCCTTCACGACGATCTTGTGCTCCGTCAGCTCCGTAGCTTTACGTTGCACAGACTGGCCACATATCTTGCCGCGGCCACCCCCCTGTGCTAGCTGAGCGACCGTCCCGCGCCCTACACCGAAAACAGGTCGCCGCGCGCCGTAGCCGTCACCCCGGCCTGTCAAATGTTTCAGCCCCAAAGATTTGTGAAGGATTGCGACTTTTCTTGGGCTTGCACTTCAAACTGCCTTGGGATGTTCTACAAGGTTGTGCACACAGGGTAGTAGCATCGTACGGGGTGCGGACCGCCTGATCAGCCCGCGCAACTGCTTTCAAAGTCATGCGCGCAAGAAGAAATTGCAGCAAATCCTTCATGCGAAGAAATCCCATCAGCAGATATCAGCAGCATCCATTCCCACGTGTATTTGGGAGCAGACGTCCAAGAATCGTTCAAGACTTGTTGGTCTGAGGGATAGGATGAGAGAGGGAGGAGAAAGGGTTCCCTCAGCCAAGCATGCACAGATAAAAGCTGGTTGACATGAACTCGAGTGAGGCTTCTCCTCACATTCTCCCAACATCAAGGCTAGCTTGGAGCGGTATGTTGGGGGGAAGCGTGCACACGCTCAGCTCACTCAAAAGGAAACAACAAGACCGAAAACCATCCCTAAAGCCCCATGGTTGGCCTGCAAAGCCGCCCATGGGAGCTGTCGCCCGTGGCGGAGGAGGGAAGCGGCCGCCGTCAACGCCAGCATACCTTGACCGTTTGGGACTTTGTTTTCGAAGTCACAAAGTTGAGGGTCTTCCTTTCCACGGTCTAGTCGTCTGAGTTAGGGGTGAGAGTTTGGATGGCTTCGGCATCTTCGTGCCATGCCCCGCACGAAGGTACGTTCTGCGAACACGTTATTGGTCTGTGAACACCGTGATTCAAGCTGGCCGCTGACAGCTCAACTGGCTGCAGCTGCAAAATAAGACATCAAGCAGGCATGGGCTGAGCTGAGTCCCAAGAGCTGGATGCGCCCGAAGACACCGAAAGACTCCTTCGCAGAACATAAGGAGGTGGACAACTGCTTGAGGGCCGAGACCCTCCGACCTCTGTCAGAGGTCACTCCGCAAAGCATTCTCCGCTGCACACTTTGTGTCCTTCAGGTCTTCCGCCCTGGCTCCTGTGGCGCCCATGTCTGGTGCTGAGAGAGAGGCGAAGGAAATGTAGGATGTATTTTTGCTGCGTCAACCTACAGCAACATGTTGCGGTTATGAGACCGCTGGTCAGCATGAATAATTGGAGACTTGCTCAGGAACCCTGCGCTGAGTGTCAGCAGCGCCCGCCTTGCGGCAGGTTGGTGATCAGCAACTTCGTGCCATCCTGGTGTTGCTCCATTGGCAACAGCTTCGAGCAAGTACTTCCGAAGTCTTGCGGACATCAAGAGTCACTTCTTGCTTCTTGAAAGATTCAGAAGCCCGGGTTCCACCGTGCTGTGTTTCCAGCTTCCCCGACACCCACAACATTCCTGTCCTTGCTGTCCTTCGAGCCTTGACTGGCATTCGTTCCCAGAATCATTCAACGGCATTTCCGGCAAAGCTTAAATGCAGTATTCTCACAGTTAACGCCTGTCCAAAACTTGCAACAAGATCCCTCACGCTGACCTGAGGCAACTGCAGTACGTCCAGGATCAAGGGAATGCTTCAATCATGCAGGCTGGGATTGCATTTCGTGGTGTCGCGATAGCGCTTCCGGCTCCTGGTACAGCATGTCGAGATCGACCCCAATGGTAGACCTTGAGGGCCAGCACAGCCAAACAAGTGTGTTTCACCAGCGGCTCCGGCAAAGCCTGAACCTGCTTGGCACAGCTGACTTGAAGGACAACATATCCGTAGATGTCTCTACAGCCAGCTCGACGCAGCAGTCGATCAAAAAAAACTGTTTGCGCGCATGTTATTTCTGCCACTCCCTGATGCTCCATGGATTTCTGCCACTCCCTGATGCTCCATGACCCTCACGCAAGCCGCCAAGCCCCGCGCCCTTGGAAGTCGCCCCCATCCATAGCCAAAGCCTCATTTGCCTGCACTGTGACTCCGGGCATCTGGCGCAGAGCTCATGATGATCGCTCACAGACGACAATGCCACACTTACCCATGCTGAACTTCGAAATGCGTGGATTTGATCTCCTTACCCTCTACCGACTCTACCGAAAAAAAACCGCTGACCTCTTGGGATGCGTAATGAAATCCATGCAGAAAGCTGACATCAGAGCCTTGCGTGCACCTTCACTACGTACCTTTACCAAGAAGCGGGAACGAACTGGAATTCGGCGATTTCAAGTCTTCGCCAATTGCACCTCCTCCGCGGTCTCGAATCGGATCTGCATGGCTGCTGGTCGGCTTTGTTCTCAAGAAGATAATAAAGCCTGCCAAACTACACCTGCTAAAGCGTCTGCCAGTTGGAGTCGAAGTGCTCTCGGGCAGGTGCATATGGGCCGGATCTCTCTAAAGCATCATGATTGTAGACTTAGAAAACACCTGCTCGGAGGTAAAGAAAACTTCCCAAGCCGGCCACTCCAACTCAACATGCCAGAATGATGGGACATTGGATTTGCCTCACCGACGGTCCCTTCACCTGCATGCAAGCAACAAGCATTAGTTTTCATGAATGTCTGTCGAGCGAACATAGGGATTTCTAGCAGCCAAGAACTTTAAAGGAGCCTGCTTTATGACAAGACTTTGTTTGTTAGGATGGCCCTCACATCATTCCCTGCTGAAGATGCCAAAAAATCCCGTGCCAGGGAGGCACTGACCGGCAGTTACGTCGTAGCCAGCTCAAAGTGGCAAGGCTGACAGCTTTGAAACTTCACGAAAAGCTCTGAGGGTGCTCACGGGCATGGCTTCCACTCTTGGAGCATGGCCCTGCTCAAGCCCCCGAAATCTTGACAGCTTCCTGGATCACGCTGAAGACGGCCTGCCTTGTCTAGGCCTCTTGCTTGGCTCGGCTCCATTGGGAAAGGAGCGCTTCATGGCGCTGCAAACTAGTCGCAGGTATTTGGAGCCATGCCTCCAATCTGTTACTCTTTGCGCTGCCTACATCCTGCTGATATCTTCTTGTGTTAGCCAGCTCACGGACACAAGCCCCGTGCCCACGCATATCTGTTGCGGCATGTCTTCGTACAAAAATTGGACAGGTTGCCATGGGTTACCTGTGTTGTGCTAGCAGCTTATCAGTGCGTTTTCTGTCTAGGGTCAGCTCTTATCCGAGCAAAGCTGTGTGCATGATTGCATCGGACTCAGACCCTATGCTGCCTATGCTTGTCTACTTGAAGCTCCGGATGGGTTGTGCCGCTTGAAGACAGACTCATGGTGTGCAGACGAAGTCTTCCTGGGCACTGAGCTCTCTTCCTATCTTCTATGCCGTTAGGATTCTTAAGGCCCTTGGGTTGATCTAGGATCGAAAAGAAGCAGCACTGGCTTGCCAAACCGGTTCCACCAGTGCTTTTGGTCAACGTCGCTGCAGAGCGGGTACACGGCACTGGCACAAGTGGTGCAACTGTGGACAGGGCGATTACATCAATGAAGTACTAGGAGACCCTTCAACTCAAGGCTAAAGACCAACTCCAGCAACGCGAACATGCACCGCCCTTTTTTCGCGAAGGCTACATTGGATCCAACGCGCATGTGGCATCCAGAGTTCTTCTATGCACGAAAAGCTCTGGCACGAAACATCTTCTCAGGTCTGCAAAGGCTGCTTGTCAGTACACCTTGTATGATGGCTCTACCAGACGGCTGTTCCAATAGTACCTTTTCTCGGCCACGTTATCAGGGCCATCATTCTCAGCTACCAAGCATGCAATCTCAGCAGGATTGATCTGATGATGTATCCAAGTGCAACGTGGGGTGCTTGGGGGTTGGCTCCAGAACATGTGTGGCTGACCGATTGGCTGCAGGGGATGATTACATGTTGCCAGCGCGCCAGCATGCAAGCTAGGCTTGCTAGAGTCGAAGGAAGCTTCTGCCCATTCCTTCCCGCAGGCATGCACTCCAAATCAACACCCCAAAGCAAGGTATCAGACGCTCTGAAACCCACACCAGCCTTTTGGCAAAGGATCGACAAGACAATCCTTCCTAGATGACACTGTTCACTTGCAAAAGAAGGCAGGCTGTCTTCCTTCAGTGCGCATGAATCCCTGCAGGATTTTTCTGCGCGGTGTTTCCGGACGCCTCTGCGAACGGCTCGGGTTCAGGTCTACCAGCCAGTCCTCAAACCAGCTGCCCTAGCACGGACACATATGAAACAAAGGTCACCCCAACTGAGCTCACATCAACACTTATGAGTCAAGCGCTGCATCCTTTGGGATCCTTTGGGTTTCACTTATCATGCATGCGTAGGTTGAAGTCTCAAGCCTACCTACCACCCAGGCTGCAAAAACCCAAGCCCGTCGTGGGCGAGACGAGACACACACACCCTCAAAGGGCGATCCGCGGGTTCCCCACGTTTGGAGGATCACTCCGGTCCTGCCAAGTTTGACGCCAGCATTGCAGGCTTTGACATTCGTGGGGTGATGTGGGGTGTTTCCGTGCTTCCATCTGGCGTCCAAGTTGAGGAGTGTGATCAAGACAGGTTTCATGGTCCAGAGAAGCACGTGTCATGTGAGATGACAAAGTGTTGGGCAGAACCGCTGCACTCGGGACCATGAAAGAGGTGGGATAAGATGAAGCCGCCGAATCGACCGGCTGCACCACTTCAGCTGTCCTGCTGGTTGGCATACATCGCAGAAACCACTTGCAGTCTTTGCTGCAGCAACCTCGGAGCTCTCAGCTGTGGCCACTCAATACTGCGCATACTTGGAGAACGATCCACCCAAAAACAACTTGCTCCCTTCGCAGCCAAGTACAGCCCCTAGAAAGGCTGGAACCCCTCCTCGACGCTCAAACAGGGCTCTAGCCTAAAAGGCTAGCAGTAGCATAGTCCAAGTGTCTCTTGCGGCGGCTGTTGCTGCTGTTGCTGCGGTTGTGCCTGGCGTTGAGCGCCGCCGCGCCTTGTGGCAAGAAAAATTGCCATCAGCATCATGGATTTCTCCCGTTTCCAACCATGACACCCGAATAGTGTTCATCTTATCTAACATTTGCTTCCAGGGCGCCATGGTGGCTCGGAGTGACATTGATAGCGTTACAAGCTTATCCTTTGATTGCCATGAGTCTCAGGCTTTGCAGATCTAATTTTTCCTGCTATCCTGCACCTGTGCCAAAGCAAATGAAGACGAAAGTTGAACTGTGCCAGGGCAATCGGTATTTGCTGACTCAGCCCTGCTCTGCGAGCCTTACAGCCAAACAAACACAAAAAAGCAAGCCATGAACCGCAATGTGCTGGACCCTCTGGGAAGCCCCGCTGCGGCCGCTGCTCAAGAGACACAGCTGGACCCGACTCCTTCTTAGTGCAGCTATTCAGTCCTAAAGCTTCAGAGGGTTCGTCAAGATAGGCCTGTAAACTTTACGCTGCCTTCATAACCAACACGTGCCAGACAACATCTGAAACAGCCGGTGTCTGAATTACTCCACAATTTGTAGGGAGCACCCGGTGTCCTGCTGCTGCATGGCCTGCTGCTGCATGCTTTGCTGCTGGAGCAAGAGCTGCTGCATGGCTTGCTGCATCGCCTGCTGTTGAATGGCCTGCTGCTGCAAGACCTGCTGCTGCATAGCCTGCTGCTGCAATGCCTGCTGCTGCATGGCCTGCTGTTGCATGGCCTGCTGCTGCATGGCCTGCTGTTGCATAGCCTGCTGCTGCATGGCCTGCTGCTGCTGCATGGCCTGTTGCTGCAAAGCCTGCTGCTGCAGCGCCTGCTGCTGTTGGCCCTGTTGCTGCGGGCCAGGTTGCCTGACGGCAGGAGAGCATCAGCTCTACGAGCACAATTATGACTAGCTAGTCTGGCAAGCCACTGCATCCATCCACCTAGCTGCCTATCTTTCAGAGAGCTCTTTGTCAAAAAGCGCGTACTTCATCAGACACCGGACATACTCCTTCCACAAAAGCTGGATATCACCTGCCTCCAGGAATTGGTCTGCGCCTTACATGCAAGATGGGGCTTGGGGAGCAGGACTTGTGCACGCAGAGCACAACGCGGAATGAGTTCGTAATATGGTTTGATCGGCCGGCCCAACCACATCAACGCACCATTCCGCCAATGACGACATTGTCACCATGCCGTCGTTCTGCAAGCCATCGAACTGACGATTCTGCTCACAAATCTGTTCAAGATTCCAGCTGATGCATTCCGCAATCCACGAGATGAAGCTTTGCGTGCTGGCGTATCAGTACTTGATAGCTGGAAGTAATATTTGGAGTACTACCACCGCCTGCGAACAGACACCACGAACGCAACCACATAACAAGCGCCATCCTAAGTTCATGGGGATTGGAGATTAAAGCCCTCACGCATGGAGAAAACTGGGCAAGAGGCTACTGGCAAAATACCTTTCTCCCGTGCTCTCTCCCCCTCTCCCTGGGACGTTCCATGTTTCCAGCCCGCGAAGCCAATGAGCTTCAGGGCTTGTTTGCTGGATCGGCCCTCTGCCCACACAGCCAAGCAATGCTCACTCCGTGTGGTTACCGTAGCAAGGGGCTGACTATCTACCAATACTCTTCTAAGATTTATTTGACGTAGCCTATGTTGTAATCATACAGACGAGGAACCTAAGACCATAATGTAATGGTAACTATTCAGGTCCTTATAGTACTCGAAAAGTGCCATGCAGGCCGGTCTGCGTTAGCAGGCTTGAACGAAGGGTTGTCAGGTGCTTAGAGCTCAGTTCATGGCTCAGGCCTCAGCTTAGGCGTTGGGGTCTGGAGTTTAGGGTTTTGGGAGAATGGATTAGGGTTAGGGCTCAGTTTTGGGTTTGGGCGCTTCAGCAAAAGCGGCGTGGGGCTCCAAGGCTGATTTCATCTTGAATTGTCGGCCTTGCAATTTTCTGCCATCTAGACTCATGAAGTTTCCAATTGTTGCTTTTTGGTGGTGCTCTGATTTCTCATTTTGTGCGGTAGTTTCGGAGTTTGCGCTCA